CATCTATTGTATGCATGGCTCGAGGCTAGATGCTGTGGAAGGTAAAATAGCGAATGGTTTTACAGTGGTTTTGCATTACGAATGGACCTTGCCCTCCCCACACTTTTGTTTTCATAAATACATAAACTTTGATAATTTTAATGCAGACCACTTGAGGAAGAGTCAGTGTGACAACTCCAGTGTCATGGGAGTTCAAAGTTGTGAAATACTGTTTCCAACCATTGTAGGGAGCAAGGTGGAGTGGGAAGAACATGAACTTTGGAATTCAATTTGTCCCCCTGAATCGAGGCTCCATGTTTTACCATGATCATGAGGCCCATGAGGAGCATGAGCAAATCAGCCAACTTCTCTGGAATTCGGCGCAATTCTACCCCCGCCAGTTGTAAGCATCAGATGGGAGAGCATCCTTGGCAAGTAGCAGGTGTTTGGTACAAGCGAGGGCTTTCCATCCTCCTTTCTCTTCTAGCTAGGTTCATCAAAAAGACTTCCTACAGGAAGTGTCATGTGATGCGGATCCAAATAGAAATGTGTTGATTTGTTTTACGTAGCATTCTTCCAAAAGCTTAAGATGACCTAGACAAAGTTATAGCTCAAGATAAGATACATAAGAAGAGAATATTAGAGATTATATAAAAGAGGCCAAGAAAGATATTTTCAAGTTTTATGTGGGGTAGAATTGTAGTTTTTAGGTAGTCCCTTTTGTTCTAAGGCTTTTGACATCAAAGGAGATGTGGTGTGAAATTTTGTGACACAGTTTCTAGTAGTGATATGAGAAAGGATACAAATGTATCATTAGAGATTGCTTTTCCCTTGGCAACACTTTATATCTTAGTCCTTTGTATTCACATCCTGCAAATATTTTTCCCACTTGCCTTTTTATAGTGGTCCTACTTTTGGAAGCCGCCAACTTTTCTGTCTCCATTGAAAATTTTCTGTGTTGGGGCGCCTGGGTGGCACAGTCGGTTAAGCGTCCGACTTCAGCCAGGTCATGATCTCGCGGTCCGTGAGTTCGAGCCCCGTGTCGGGCTCTGGGCTGATGGCTCAGAGCCTGGAGCCTGTTTCCGATTCTGTGTCTCCCTCTCTCTCTGCTCCTCCCCCGTTCATGCTCTGTCTCTCTCTGTCCCAAAAATAAAATAAACGTTGAAAAAAAAATTAAAAAAAAAAAAAGAAAATTTTCTGTGTCCCTTGCTTTTTCCAGCTTTCTGCATATATCACCTTTATTCATTCCTGGCAACTTACTTCTTGTTTAAAAAAATGAGTCTTTTGCCCCTCGTTCAGACACTTCCTTCAAATTAGAGTCCCACATGTCCCTTCTTCCTCATGAAAAGAACTCTAAAATTCCTCCTTAACTTCTCCCACACCTGTGCTTCTGTCTCCACATAAAATGGTGCTCATTTAAGCTCATAACTTTTTATGATCCTGGGCCAGTGGTTCTTTTCCATTCTAGTCCAGCTCCAATGTTCTTGAGCATTTATTTGATCCAGCTGACCATGTTCTACTTAAAACTCCCTTGCTTTTTTTAAAGTTTTATTTTATTATAAGAATACTTAATATGAGATTTGCCCTCTTAAGAACTTTTTAAGTGAATATAGTTACAGTGTTGCACAACAGATCTCTAGAGCTATTATTCATCTTCTTGACTGAAACTTTAAGCCTGTTGATTAGCAACTCCCCATTTCCCCTTTACCCCAGCCCCTAACAACCACCAATTGACTCGGATTCTGTGATGTTGGCTATTTTATTTTATTTTATTTATTTATTTATTTATTTTTTCAACGTTTATTTATTTTGGGGACAGAGAGAGACAGAGCATGAAAGGGGGAGGGGCAGAGAGAGAGGGAGACACAGAATCGGAAACAGGCTCCAGGCTCTGAGCCATCAGCCCAGAGCCCGACGCGGGGCTAGAACTCACGGACCGCGAGATCGTGACGTGGCTGAAGTCGGACGCTTAACCGACTGCGCCACCCAGGCGCCCCGATGTTGGCTATTTTGGATACCTCACATAGGTGGAATCCTGAAGCATTTGTTTGTCTGTGACTGGTTTATTTCACTGAGCATGTTATTTTCAAAGTTCATTCATGTTGTTGCATATTCCAAAATTTCTTTTCTTTTTAAAGGCTGAATAGTATCCCCTTGTGTACATACACCATGCTTTCTTTGTACATTCATCTGTCAATGGACATTTAGGCTCTTTGCACATGTTGGCTATTGAGAATAGTGCCAGTAGTGAACACGGGAAGGCAGATATCTCTTTAATATCTTGGTTTTAGTTCTTTTGGATAAATACCTAAGAGTGAGATTGCTGGATCATACGGTAGTTTTACTTTTAGGTTTTTGAGGAACTGCCATACTTTTCTCCCATAGTGGCCGCACCATTTTGCATTCTCACCAACGGAGTGCAAGGATTTGGACTTGCCCACATTTTCCGAAACACTTGTTGCCGTTTGTTTACTTGACAACAGCCATCCTGATAGGTGTGACGTGATACCGCGTTGTGATTGTTATTTGCATTTCCTGAGCCTTTTCTCATATGCCAGCTGGCCATCCATGTGTGTATCTTCTCTGCAGCGACCCCACTCAAATCCTTAGCCCATTTTTAAGTCACGTTAGTAGTTGTTTTTGTTCTGCTTTGCTACTAAGTTGTAGGAATTTCTTTTCTAGCTCCTTCTCAGATACGTGGTTTGCAACTGTGTTCTCACATCCCATTGGTCACAGTAACACCCTGTTAAGTGTTTTCCTTTGCTGGGCAGAAGCTCTAGTTTGATACGGTTTCACCGGCTTTCTGCTTTTATTGCCTGTGCTTTTGAAAACAGGGCCTTTTCCTAGTAACCCGGGAACCATTATGTTTCCTTCCAGTTGCTTCTTCCCTTTACTTAACCAGACTTTTATCTTTAGTTCTCCATGTGTTGGCAGACCTGCAGACCCCCCCCCCCCCCCCCACCTCCCTGCCGTGACTTCAAGGTCACTTACCTTTTGTTATTCTCAGATATGCACCTTTGGAACAGATCTCTCTCCTGATGTTTCATGTGCCCAACTACTTTTTGGACACGGTTCCCTATACGTCCCATGGGCAGCTCAAAATTTAACATTCCCAAAATTCGATTCACTGTCTTCTCTACCAGATTTGAGTTTTCCTCTGTGTGAGATAGCTTGGAGCTATCTCTTGGTTAGATAGCCCATGAGTCTTGTCTGGGGAACCCTGTTCTGACAGCACAGAGCCCGATGCGGGGCTTGATCCCAGGAACCATGAGATCATGACCTTATAAAAGGCAAAGCTTACTACAGTTGAGTTGGAGTGAGTGTCGGGGATGGTTGGTGGTGTGTGGCAGGGAAGTTTTTATTCAACTCTGAAAGACTTGAACATACAGAGATTGGGAAGTGAGGGAGAGAGGATGTTTGCACTTCAGTCGGAGAATAGCGTGAGCAAACACCGCAAGCAAAGGAAGAGTCGGATTTGTATGAGAAACCGTGGGCTATTGAATTTTTCAGGAGTGAAGAATGTAAGCGGAGGAATCAGAGATAATTTATACTTGTTTCTGTCTCAGGAGATCTTTTCCGTGTCCCCAAGCTGTCAGGATGCCTTTGCTCTGGCTTGTCACAGTATCTTCGTGCTTATTTCCATGATGGCCATACAACTAGGATAATGACTCAAAAGGCTGATGGGGCAAGAGTTTTCAAACTGGAGGTTATACTTTGAAATCATGCTATTTATTTTTTTTATAGTTAATATTCATTTAGATTCACCCATCTATTTATTCTTTCTCCTGCTCTTCATTTCTTCTTGTACAGTTAACCTTCCATCTGGGATCATTTTCCTTTTCCTTGAAGAATTCCATTAAATACCTCTATAGTAGCAACAAATTTCTCTCGGTTTTTGCTTGTCTGAAAGCATTTTCAGGGGCGCCTGAGTGGCTCAGTTGGTTGAGCGTCCAACTTCGGCTCGGGTCATGATCTCAAAGTTGATGAGTTCAAGCCCTGCGTCGGGGCTCTGGGCTGACAGCTCAGAGCCTGGAGCCTGCTTCCGATTATGTGTCTCCCACTCTCTCTGCTCCTCCCCCGCTCGTGCTGTGTGTGTGTCTCTCTCTCTCTCTCTCTCTCTCTCTCTCTCTCTCTCAAAAATAAATAAACGTTAAAAAAAATTTAAAAACTCCTGATATCTCACTGCTTATTGCCTGCATTCTATGTCATGAGTTTAAATGCTATTCAGTATCAGACACCAGGTCCTTTTCTGTCCCTTTCTTTCATGCAATACATTGCTCTTCCTCTGCCAGGCCTTCTGTGTCCATCCTACAAAAGCTTGTTTATCCTGTATGTCCAAACTCTTCTATGTGTCTTATCAGATTCTCCCAGGCAGAGTGGGACACCTCTGTTTTATGTTATGTTTATATTTGCTTACACATCCCCCCACCAAGGAAACAGTTAAAATTTTCAAATGAATAATTTACTACTATAATCCAACATCTTTTGTTTTGTTTTTTTTTTTTTTTTTTTGCTTGACACACTCAAGAAAGCATAAGATGTCAGTGCTTATACACTGCTAATTCAGTTTCTTCTCTTCACTTACAAAAATGGGGCAAAGATGGTAAGTGATTTGCCCGCGGTTCCGATTAGTTACTGGCGGACGGAGGTTAAAACTCACTTTTTTTCGTGGGTCCCAAAGCTTAAGTCAGTATAATCCCACTGCATCATTAGTATTTTTTTCCTTGCCCTCCTCCCCTGCACCTGATGAATAAGACCATTTACTGTGGTGCGATGCCTGGTGAAAAAATGAACGTTGGCCTCATCTACGCTTGGCTAAGTGTTCACGAGCGTGCACTTCCACACAGAGAAAGAAAGGAGAAATCTTTGTGCTGAGACCCTTTAACAGGACCGAGTCTGGGCCTCCTGGCACTCACAGTGGGTGCCACACTTGAGTTCCCGGGGGCGGTTGTTACAGCCGTAGCTGCTGGGATGTGGGGGTGGCGGGTGGGGGTGAGCAGAAGATAGAGGTGAATCGTGAGTGACCCTTGCCTGAGTGGGGGTGAGTTTGGGGCACGATGTCAGCTGAGAGCCTCTGAGGCTGTGGGGTCAGGGCACTGACCAAGCAGGGGGTGTCCTCTGTGACAACTCATTGCACCTGCTAGAGCTCCGGAGCCCCCGTCTTGTCTTCTGTTCAATCTTTCCTCCAGGGTCGCGTGCTGTGCACGTGTACAGGTCAGGAGCCCACTTGGTGCACAGTCACAGGCGTGATTTAAACACAGCGGATGCTGTCCTTTCACAAAGCTCTGAGAGAAAGGACTAGCTGTGGGAGAAATGACAGCCAAACTTTTGTTTCTCCTAGCTTTGTAACTGTACTGCAGGATCCTGCGGTATCTGAAACGATACCCAGTAACATAGAGTCCAAGTGAAATTTCAGTATATTGATGTGGGCGCCTAGTTCCAGAAAAGTTTTAAGAGGCCTTGCGCCGAAACAGGTTGTGATTTGTTAAATTGTAAAAGACCACTTTGTTTTACAGAGCAAGTTTTCTTTCTTTGTTAAATACCTGGATGCCCTACAGTGAGGGTGAGGGTCCCCTTGTGAAAGAGGTGTCACTCTTAACTAGCCCGGGTTGGACCGTGACCGTACCCATAGCCCTAAGCAGTTGTTTTTACTCATTACTCAAGTATCTAAGGTTCTTTTTTAAAAAAAAATTTTTTTTTTCAACGTTTTTTATTTATTTTTGGGACAGAGAGAGACAGAGCATGAACGGGGGAGGGGCAGAGAGAGAGGGAGACACAGAATCGGAAACAGGCTCCAGGCTCCGAGCCATCAGCCCAGAGCCCGATGCGGGGCTCGAACTCACGGAGCGCGAGATCGTGACCTGGCTGAAGTCGGACGCTTAACCGACTGCGCCACCCAGGCGCCCCTCTAAGGTTCTTTTAAAAAGGACTGCCCGCATCTGAAGTTTCCTCTCCATTTAAATTCTTGTCCCTCTCCATATTTACAAGGTCTGTTTTTGCAGCATATGGCTACAATTTAATAATGCAAAGCATTCCCCTCCTCACAGCTGGAAAGCTGGGGTGGTTCTGTATCACAGATAGAGTGGACTTACTCCAGGCCAGTTAAAATCATTCAACTCCCAGAAGCTAAGCTTGCTGAATGTTCTGTCCTGCACAAAGGCACCCAGGGGATATCCACTTGCGTATTAGAGCATCATGCTTGGAAAGAGGGATCGATTCTATGGTGATACGTTGCAAGCAGAATAAAATGCCAAGGAGAGAGACAGACATGTATCTACCTAAGTTTTCATCTGTTCCTACCTTACAGAAGAAGAATGCGATTTAAAGTTATTAGGCCCAAATCCTACTCAAGTTTCATTTCTTTCTTTTTCTGTAACTGTAAAAGAATATCAAGGTGTTGCATAATTTAAGCCAAGCACTCTAATTGCGTGGCAATTAGAGTCCTGTTGGCTTTTGCACCATGTCATTGACGATAGAAGAATTTAAGGAAAAAAATCAGGTTTTGGTTTTCAACGTTGTTATGAATCTTTTTGGGTCTTTTGACTTGTATGCTGCTCTTCAGGGACCTTTCCTTTTATTTTACGTAATGGAACTCGGAACATACTCCTGTTCGCACTGAAATATTCCTAATTCTTGAACCCAATAAAGATATTTCCCTCCCCCCACCATCCCCATTCTATCCCTTGAGCATATTCATGTCCCCAGGGCATTCAGGAGGAAGAACTGAGAAAGACCACTCGACTTGCAGATTTGATCTTATCACCATTAAAATCATTACATGCACTTGTTAATGACAGGGGCATGCCTGGTCCCCTCCTCCCCCAATATATCCTATGGTTTTATTTATGTGAAATGTCTAGAATAGGCAAATCCATAAAGACAGAAATTAGATTAGTGGTCGCAAGGGGCCTGGAGTTGTGGGAAACAGGTACACATCACTAATGAGTGTGGAGTTGCTTTTTTAAGGTGATGAAAATGTTCTGGAATTAGATGGTGGTGATGGTTGTACACCTCTCTGAATATACCAAAACCACTGGATTTTTACGCTTTTAACATCATATGTGAATTATATCTCGATAAGATGTAGTTTTTTGTTTGTTTGTTTGTTTGTTTGTTTAAAGTGTTTATGAGCCATTGGGAGAGAAGGGTTTGGAACTCACGGCAAGGATAGATATTTGGGGGCTCTTAACCCAGAGTCAGAGACCTCGGAGGATCAGGGAAGAGGCTCCAGGGAGCCCTGACACAGGTATAGGGTGCATTGCTCTGGGCTGCATTATATCTTGGTGAGGTCCCTAATTCTGATAAAGTTCAGAGGCCACTGGCAGGTGTGGAGGACAAGTGACATGATGTCTTGTAAGATACTGGCTCCATTGTTTATTCTGCGGCACTTTGTTTTTAATGTGGGGATTTTTAGTTTCAAAATTTGGTATTTTGGATTGTAGTCATTTCCTGAATTGAACTACTTTCTAAGCAGAACAATGCTTTCTAAGTAAGTAAGCAAGGAATAGAAAAGGTGATTGTCTTCCTCAGGGCGTAATAAAGCATTCGGCTGTTTTATACTTAATATGTCCTCATTGGTATCCAGAAATAACCCACATAAATTACACTACTTTGCATAGTGTTGACAGGTGAAGAAAGGACTATCTATGAATTTTTTGAGAGAACATGTAGAAAGATGAGCAAAGAGATTAGGAAAGGCCGTTGGTGGGGTTACTCTTAGCAGATGAGGAAGGCAAATATTTTAAAAAGAAGATAGTTGCTCCTGAATCTTAATGCATTATGATTCTCTTAAATATATTTACGCTCTGTCCTTTTAACTAGAGCACTAGTTATTAGGAACTAGAGTTAGTAGATTATTGTAGTAATTTTCCTACAATAGATTACTATTGTAATCTATTACAATAGTTACTATGTTATTGTAATTCTCTCTGTAGCTCGTATTTTTTGCCTTGGGTCTTCATCCCTGTGAAAATCCACTGCAGGCCCACGGTGATTTCCATAATGTGCAAATCTAACTATTTTATTCTCTTCCTTGTAAGTTTCAAAAATTTCCACTCTAGGCTAAGCCTAATCTTTAGCATGACATCTAATACAGCCCTTCATGATATGGTTCCTACTTTTCCTCTCACTGCACACGAGGACCTTGCATTTAGCCTTCGCCATAACCATGTGCCTCTCCACTGTGTCTCTGCCCATGTTGTTTTTCTGCCTAGAATGGTTGTTCCTGACACCTCATCAGGGACACTTCTCCAGGCCCTCTCTCTAGTACAGTTTGCAGTAATAGCACTTACTGCATTTTTGCCACTATTTACTTCTCTGTTTCCCTTAGTGGATTCTGCACACCTTCAGGTGAGGATTGTAATGTTCCATTTGTAAATTTAACATCTAAGACAAATACGTGGCCAGAGACCATATTTGGCAATGTTCAAAATTTGTGAAATGGAGGCTTAGACCAGTAATAGGCTAAACAACTTGTAACCTGTTTGTGCAGTAATGGGACCGTACCCTTCCTTGGTACTTGACCTAAGCCAGGGAAAGCATGATGTTTCATGGAAATGGGTACAGCGGGCCTTTTCTGCCTTGTGGGTACACTACACCTTGGACATGACTATTTGGGGAACGTTATGAACTCATAACTTTGCGTAGCATAGCCTGATGAATTTTGTAGGGACGTATCAGACTGAGAAATGTAATGTTAGAATACAGTGACTGATTCAGAATACCAGTCTCAGACAGATTAAAGTTTTCTTCTTTCAATCTGATGATGTGTGAAGAAGACCTTTTTTCTGTTCTTATGTTTGTGTTTAGCGAATGTACATTAATGTTGTTAGAGTTTACATGATCATGAATGAAGGAACAGGTAAGATGTCTTTCTAGAAGTTGCATAAAACAAATACATGACTGATTAAACGGAATGTTTCGGATTCATCTGTGATTCTTTTTATGATGTGCAAATCTTACTACCTTGTAAAAATTCAGAGACCACTGTCTATAGATCACTTGCTCAAGAAGGTCATTTTTCTCTTTATTGAGGTGTAACTGATATACAATATATTCTGTATATAGTGTATAGGCTATAGTGTGTATACCTAAACACACACACACACACACACACACACAAATATATAAAGGGGAAAAAAGGGAAAAAATATATATATGTATCACCAGTATGTATCACCATAACCAAGATGATGAGCATTTCCATCAATCTCAGAAGTTCCCTCTGACCACTTTAAAATCCATTCCTTTCTCTATCCCCATCCTCAGATGACCTCTGACCTGCTTTCTGTCTAGTTTACATTTCTAGAATTTTATATAAGTGATATCCTACAGCATGTATCCTTTTGTGTCTAGCTTCTTTAATCCAGCATGAAAACCATGCTTTATCCATGTGATTACATTTATCAATAGTTTATTGGTTTTTATTGCTGAGTAGTATGCCATCATATGGATATACCACTTATGGTGTGAGGTGAGCGTTGATATCCTTTTTAAAAAATATATATGGATATCTAATCCACACCATTTGTTTAAAGACATTTTTTATTCCTCCATTGAGTTACATAGCTACTTCTCAAATAGCAACAATCACATACTTATGTGTCCATTTATGGTTCATCTCATTGGACCTCATACGGTCCTGATCTGGTCTGTATGTCTTCCCTTTTCCCAACATCAAAGTTTTTTCTTATTTTCTCTATGTTTGTGATGTCTTTATAATAAGTTTTTTTAAAGTTATTTTCTTTTAGATCCTGTGTATTTTCATATAAGTAGGATCAGCTTGTCAAATTCTCAAAAAAAAATTCAAAAAACAAAACAAGACAACACAACACAAAAAAGCCTACTAGAATTTTGATTGAGAATGGTGAGATTTAGAGATAGGCCCCTCTGGCACACAGCAAAATGACTGTCATTGGCTATCTAATATAAAGTCCACATGACCTGCTTACCTTCAGATCCAGTTTCTCCTAGTTCTCCACTAAAATTTCCGTTAGGATATGTAAACACTGAACTTTTTTTTTAAGCACACTAAAACTGAGACGAAAGGATAACTTTTATTTAGCTAGAAGCTTAGAGGCTTATCTCATAATTACATGAACTGTAGAGTTAGACTGAATTTAAAAATTGGTGGTTTTCCTCTCTTACATCTCACAAAAGACAGCAGTGTTGGTTCCTTGAGAAATTGTCGACATTTAAGTTTGATTCTCCCCTACTGTCATCCCTAGGTTCAGAGATTTTCCTGTATTAACTTAAAAGGCTAGAAACCCAGAGAACAACAAGGTGAGGAAATGTGGCACGAAGAGGGAGTGAGGAAGAAGTGTGTGGGAACACATCTAGCAATCTGCTTCCATTTCCTGATGCAAATCCTTAAAAAAATTGTCTCCTCTGGGCCAGAGTCTAACTCCTTCGTACCATAGAGAAGACCCTTTGAAACTCAGTCTCATCTGCCCTTCTAGAGCTGCACAGTATAGAAGGTGAGAGGTTTCATGTCCTACCTGAAGGACATGTCCTACCATGTCCTACCTGGTAGGATCTTACACAGCTCGGTGATGGAGTGAGAAGAAGCTCATGAGATGAAAACCAGCAATCGTTGGGAATTGGCAAGGAGCTATGCTTACCAACTTTGACCACCACTGCCGTTACTTCAATACTGCCATTCGCAATAAACATTTATGGAACCCTAAGCACTTTATATGCGCTTTCTTATTTAATCTTCAAATCGTTGAGTTCAGGATTATTTTTATAACTCCTGTTGTACAAATGAGAATGGAGGGGTAGAGACTTTAAGTATTTATTCAAAGTCATTAATAAAAAAGAAGCACATCTGGAAAATGAGCTGAGATAGAGTTCACAGTGCTTAGCACACAGTCTTGCTTATAATAAACACCCAACAAATGATAGCAGCTATTATATTATCAACATCATCATTGTTATTATTTATTTATATTTGTTTATGTTATATTTATATTATTTATTTATATTTATATTATAATTAGAAATTATTTCTATTATATTTATATATTATATTATGTTTATATATATTATAAATAAATATTATACATTTATATTTATATTTATATATTATAAATAAATATTACATATTTATATTTATAATACTTATTTATATTATTTATTTATATTAAATATATAATACTATATTACTTATAATATATTATATATATTAAAATATATTATTTATGTGTATTACATTTATATATTATATTATATTTATTTATATATTATAAATAAATATTATATATTTATATTTTATATTTATTTATATTATTTATGTATATTAAGTGTAAATTATATTAAACTAATATATTATTTATAATAGAATATTGTTTATATTTATATTAAAATATATTTCTACTTCTATATAATTATGTCAAATTTATATTTATATATAATATATTATATATTTATATTATATTTATTTATATTAATTACTTATATATCATTTATATTTATAATATATTATTTATTTATATTAAAATTAAATTTATATTACTCAAATTTTATAGCTAATAAGTGATAAGACAGGAATTCAGATCCAATCACGTCAATTCTGGAGTCCTCAGTCTCACCCCATATGGAAATCTTTACTTACCATATCCAAGGGGAAGCCACTTTTCTGAGGCAAACCCTAATTCGCTATAGACTACGCTCTAGGTAAAAGAAAACAGTCACAAGAGTATGCCCTTGGTGAGAACATGGGGAAAGGTACATCATCAAGAAGAACGCATCTTTGGAAATGAAGCCTTGAAGAAAATCTTAGGGAAAACGGTTTGCTTACTTCGAAGAAAGGACTCGCATGGGAAAATGAACAGATAAAAAAGAACAGCTTCAGGGAACAAAGTGCCGTGTTAGATAAGCAGCAATAGCAAGAAAACTGAAGTCGTTTTCATAAAAATAAAGTCTGCATCATAAGAAATAAGAAACAGAATTGATATTGTGGAAATAATCACTGATACAGAGGGCAAACTCGAAATATTTGCTCCAAAACCAGAAGAAAAGAACAGAGAAGTTAAAATAATGACTAAAAAAGAAAAAAAGTTTATGGTGGGAGAATGGAAAATTTAATATTAGTTTAGGTATTCTTGGTGAGAAATCAGAGCATTTAGGAGAGAAATAGAATCAAAGACAAGTTGGGACGCAGGGTGGCTCAGTCAGTTAAGCGTCCGACTTCGGCTCAGGTCATGATCTCAAGGTTCGTGAGTTCGAGCCCTGCGTTGGGCTCTGTGCTGACAGCTCAGAGCCTGCTTGGGATTCTCCCTCTCTCTCTCTGCCCCTCCCCTGCTCACGCTCTGTCTCTCTCTCCCTCTCAAAAATAAATAAACATTAGGAAAAAAAGACAAGTTAAGAAAATTTTAATGAGCTAAAAATGATCTAAGCATTTAGATCAAAAGGACTAACTATATGTAGCAAACGATAATAGTATCTACATGCATCTTGTTGAAATTTTTGTATTTTGTGGATGAAAAAGAGAATCTTGTAATCATCCTGGAGGAAAAATAAGTTACCTGTACTTTTTTTTTTTTCTGTTGGTCAACACTAAATAACAGAAGACTGGGGGAAAACTTAGAATTATGATGAAATTTTTTTTTTCAGAGGGAGAGAGAGTGCATGTGGATGAGCAGGGGAGGGGCAGAGAGAGAGATTGAAAGAGAGAGAGAGAGAGAGACAGATAGAGAGAGAGAGAGAGAGAGAGACAGAGAGACAGAGAGAGAGAATCCCAAGCAGGCTCCACACTCAGCATGGAACCCATTGTGGGGCTCAGTCCCACAACCATGGGGTCATGACCTAACCTGAAATCAAGACTCGGATACTCAACTGACTAAGCCATCCAGGCGCCTCATGATGAAACTGTTTTTATGTTTAAGGAGTTTTATATGTAGTCAAAGACAATAGAAATATATTCCTTATTATTTGTCACCTTTTGTTTTATAGAGTCTCTTATTTTCTTTGTAAAAATTTTCCTTGCAAACCTATACCAACTAATGAAGTGATACACCAAAATAAAACATTTTAGGAACAGGAAATTCTCAGATATATCCCTATAGATATAAATATAGCTATAGATGTAGACTAATAATGAGAATAGTAATCAATTGAACAGAATTATACCTACGTAATTATTATTCTGAATAAGATTACAGACAAATACCAAAGTAAGAAAAAAAGTTTTTTTTTTAAATTTTTTAAATTTTATTTTCCATGTCTCCCCATTCACAGTACAGACCAGGCACAAAGCACCTGGGCTGGGCTGTCTCCTCTTTCTGTACAGGCAGTGTAAGAATTCAGCCTGTGGTAAGCACCAGGAGGCTCAAAAAGTAATTCTTGAAAATATGTATATAAACGAGAACTTAGTGACAATTATCTGAGTTCCAAATTCCAGATTGCGATTTTTTTTTTAATGGTAAAATAGTGGTATTTGAGTGGCAAAATACAAATAAAATTAGATTTACCATCTTCATCATTTATAAATGTACAGTTTCGTAGTGTTAAATTCATCTGTATTGTCACACAGCCAATCTCCAGAACTTTCTCACCTTGCAAAACTGAAACTTTGTATTCTCCACCCCCCCTTTCCTCATTCCCTCGTCCTTTGAAATCTACCGTTCTACTTTGTTTCTATGAGTTTAACTTCTCTAGATACCTGCCTCATCTAAGGGAAATCAGAGAGTTGTGTGTTTTGTGTTGTTTTGTTTTGTTTTACTGATTGATTCACAGATTACATATTTAAGGGCTTGAGGGTGCCGAGTCTGAATGGCAGATTCGTTTTCTTTTAGGACAGCTTGTTATGTTTTGCTAAACAGTCAATTAATTGCTCTTATCTCTATTTTTACTTAGATCTGTCATTAGGAAAGCCTGCTTTTCTTTTCTTGTTGCTGCCAAGTGCCTTTTCAGCATCAATTGATAAGGTCGTGTGTTTTTCCTTTTTTTCGCTATCATATTGATAGATTTTGTAAGAGTGAATCTCACTCATACATGGAATAAAACCCTAATGAGAATGGTGTCCTGTTTTTTTGGAAAACATTGCTATATTCAATTTGAATATATGAATTTGAATATATTCCATTTTCTTTAGGACCTTTGAAGTTGCATTTATATGCGTGGTTGGTTTTTGGTTGATTTGTTTGCTTGCTTTGGCTTGACAAGGGAGGTTGCACATTTAGTTATTTAAGTTTTGCTGGTCTGATAAAGGCTCATGAGAGAGCTTTCTTCATAAGGAACCTTGTCACCATTTGCTAAAGGCTGGGAGAGAATAAATATCCTTGGAATTTCAAGGCTACAGAAAAGATAAAATCCAGCTCGACACTGTTCCATACCTGGTGCCATTTTACAGGTGGTTTTTATATCACCTTTTGATTCTCTTCTAGGCTTTTCCAATTTTAAAGTGCATATGAATCACCTGTGCTGCAGACACTGATTCCGAGAGTCTGGGGTTGACCTTGAACTTCTGTGTGCCTACCAAGCTCCCCAGTTACGCCAGAGCTGTTGGTTGTGGGACCACATTTTGAATAGCAAGATGCTAACCCAGTGGTTCGCAGACTTTGCTGCCCATTTGAATCACCAGGGGAACTTTTAGAACATCCTTATGTCTAGGACACATCCATACCAATTAAATCAGAATTGCTGGGAGCCAAGCCTAAGTTGTTTTTCAAGAACCCCAGGTGGTTTCAATGATCAGCAAATTTTGGGAACCACTGCAGGAGGGGTAATTGGTCTATTCAGGTTTCCACTTTGCTCAATTTTGGTTACTTTTATTTTAGTAAGTAATTGCCCATTTAAGTTTTCAAAGCTGTGGTCAGTAAGTTTCATGTGTTATTCTCTTATAATTTTTTGTTAATGTATTTGGTTTCCATGGTTATGTTTCCCTTCTATTCTTTTTTTTTTTTTAATTTTTTAACCTTTATTTATTTTTTTTGAGACAGAGACAGAGCATGAACAGGGGAGGGTCAGAGAGAGGGAGACACAGAATCCGAAACAGGCTCCAGGCTCTGAGCTGTCGGCACAGAGCCCGACGCGGGGCTCGAACTCACAAACCGTGAGATCATGACCTGAGCTGAGGTCGGTCGCTCAACCGACTGAGCCACCCAGGCGCCCCATCCCTTCTATTCTTATATATTTTTGCTTTTACTTTTTTCCCTTAATGAGGCTTGCAAATGATTTTTCTGTTTTTGCTGGTCTTCTCAGAAAATCATCTTCCCTTTTTATTCTTTTATTTTAAATATTTCTCTTTTTGGAATTTATTAATTTCAGCTTTTATCTTTAATTCCCTTTTTAACTTTTCCTGGATTGTTTTGTTATTCTTTTGATCTTATGGTAAAGTGATTTTTCCTTTTGTCCTTTTCATTGCTTTCTATAGTTTATCATTTTTTCTTTTGGCATTCTGTTATAATCTTAATTTTTAGGTACTTCAGAAAATTTGGTCACTTTTTATTTTTTTCCCTTTAATCTATTTACTAAAGACAAAACAGTATAACAGTTTTCTCCTTGGCCAATGAGATGATCAACTCTTATAAAACGTCTGTGGGCATAGTAACAAAGCACGGTTTGTATTTGAATGATTTGAAGTTAGTCATTGTCTAATAGTCGTGTTCAATTCTAAAAGAATCACCACTTACATCTCTAAAAGAGATGTACTCAAAATTCTCACTATAATTGTGTTTTTTGTCAAGTTTCTTGTGTTTGAATAGTTTTTGTATTATGCATTTCCCCCACAGTATTGTTTGGAGCATGTACGGTGTATGTTTAATTTTCTGTATTATGTATGCCTGGTATCCATTCATAATGTCCTTTATCTCATTTATTGTAATTCATCTTAAATTCTACCTTAACCACTGCTAATCGGCCCTGCTTATTTTCGGTTTGAATTTGCCTGACTCTCCTCGCATCCCATTTGACTTTCGACTTTCTGTTCTTGTTATCATTTTGTCTTAAATGTGTTCCTTAAAAGTAGATGCATTTTATTTGCTTCCGTTGCTCTAATGCTCTTTATGGGATAATTCTGTCTACTTACCTTTGTGGTAAGGGTCGATACGCTTGAGTTTACTCCTTCTGTTTTTCTTTATATTATTTTTTTCATCTGATGTCCTTAGTTTTGTTGTCTTGATTAAGTTACTGTTTCCCGTGTTTTGGTTTTCCCTTTGTTAATTTGGGGAGTCCCACTTTCCTTTTCCCTGCTCTTACAATGAAATACCTCTCTTTATTATAATTGGAAACAACGACAGTTTTCATATTGACTCCTAGATACTCTGATCACCATCTGGATTTTAGAGAAGACAAACATCGCGTGTAGAAAAGTTGCTTAACCTGCCTTAGCTTTACATAGCAAGTGGTGGCGCTGATCTTTTAGTATAGTTTAACATAATGTAACATTAATTACAGTCTATTTTATGATAGTATTATCGTAAAAGAATTTTAATTTAATGTAATTTACTCTGTATAAAAATACACAGAGTCTGCTCAGGAAACCATGAAATATGTGTGCTGATAAATTTTAAAATATGGAAGAATTGATGATTTTCTTGGAAGGTATACAATGATATTGCCTCAAGACCAGAAAACAAGAGTAAAGCAAATTCATGAAAGACTCAAAGTTTTATCTTCTTTGAACCAGATTATGAGAAGATATTTTACCAGTGAGTTTTTCCAAACTTTCATGAACTTTTCATATGTTTTCTTTTTTGTGTGAAAAATGACTGTCATCCGGACCATTTTATGAAGCAGGCATATAACCTGGCTGTGAAAAGTTCACAAATAAAACAAACCCCCCCCCCCCCACAAGAATATACCAGCTACAAACTGGTATATGAGAATTTGGAAGAAACTGTTAACAAAACAATTTAGCAATAAATTAAAAGAGCTACCTTCCGTGGATAAGCAAAGACAGTTTAATCTAAGAACTCAGTAATATGTAACACAATAAATGCTTTAAGGAAAAAAAAAAAGGGGATCATCTCTACTAATGCTAAAACGACATCTAATAATATTCAATAACCATTCTGATCAGTACACTTTTAAAAACTCTGTGAAAACTAGGAATAAGTGAATATATAAAATGATGAGAAACAAAATCACTTATTGATAGCCAGCGTTACCGTTAACTGTGAAATTCCAGCATTAATCTCATTAATATTAGGAATAAAATATTCCCGCTAGCACAATTCCTATTTTACATATTTTTAATGTTTGTTCCAAGAGAGAATGCATAATGTCTGCACAATTCCAACTTTATTATAATTAAATAAATGAAGCTTATTACATTATCATAATGATATCTTTTCTCTATCAACTTGCAACAATTAAAACAAGTCCCCATTAATATGAGTAATATGTAATTCTGGGCAGTAGGGTGGTGACATGGACAGGCTCATTCTGCCCAAGGGAGCATAAGTTGGCAAAAGTCTTCATGGAAGGCAGCTTGACAGTTTTTAACCAAGAGCTTGAAGAGTTTATGTCCTTTGACCCAATAATTCCATTTCTGGGAACCCCGGCCTAAGGAAATCATGAGAACCGCTGACAAAGATTTGTGTGCGACTATGTTAATGGCAGTTCTGTTTATAATATTTAAAAAAAATGGGAAATAACCTAAAATGCCAAAAAAAAAAAAAAAAAAGGAGAATGGTCAAATAAAGTACAGCCAGACAGTGTAATAATGTACAGGCATTAAAATCACGCTCTTGAAAACCTGTTTAATCTAAACGGAAAGATACAATGTTAATTAGAGAAAACGCAGGATACAAATTTATTAACTTTTGATCTCAGTTTTTGAAAACACATTTGTCTATGTTATATATATGCAGGAATAAGTTTAGTGGACTGGAAGGAAATACTAAAAAACAAATAACATAAATACTACATTAACATAGTGCTATCAGAGTGTGTTAGAGTCAGAAGTTGCTGTCTCTCTGTTGAATCACTTAAATCACCAACAGGGACATTTCATATTGAAGGATAAAATTAATTCTAAATTAGTACTGGAATGCGAACCTCGGCCATAGACCGAGGTTCAGTCTCTGTGCAGAGAATCATTATCTTTGCAATGATTAGCATGTCTATTTCCAAATCACAGTTTCCATTCTTAACCATGGACAGTTCAGACCAGTCGAGAAACTGCAGATAAAGCCATGCCTTAACACCACCACCACCAGAAGGTCCCAGTAGGTTAGTTGTGGTATCGGAAGTCATGTGAAGATTGGCGAAGAGCTAGTGTAAAATAATCTTATCTTCTCCCCTTCCACATCCATAAACAAAAGCACTGAGTCGTCTTTTACACTCTGTTGAAGGGAGTGAACAATGGGAATTAGAAGCCTGGAAA